TGCCGCCCACCGAGAACAGCAGCGCTCTGATCTGCTTGCCGAGCTCCTCGTTGGCGCGCTCCACTCCACCGACTCCTTGATGGTTAGCCCGCTGAGCTGACTCGATCATCGTGGGCGCCTTCCGCTGGGCCTTGATCTCCCTCGCCAGGGCCGTGATCGACGCCTCCTGGTCGTGCTTCAGCACGATGCGATCCAGCCCCCAGTTCTCAATGGTGGCGACCGCTGTCTTGACCATGTAGGCGTCGGTACCCTTCGGCCCCATGATGCCATGAATAGCTTGGGAGTTCATGTGCACCATGTTGAGGATGCTCAGCTGGCCCAGGAAGTAGTAGTCGATCTGGACCTCGTCGCCCGTGCGCTCGTGCCCAGCCTTGTAGTGTGGGTCGTCCGTGAACTTGGATCTGACGCACACCCAGCACCAGGACCTCGCAGGGATGTGCACCAGCTCGTGCGTCCTCTGCTCGGCCAAACTTGGCTTCACTGGATCCTTCTTGACTCGGACTGGCACGGACTCCTCGAGCTCTGCCTGCGCTGCTGGCTCGCTCGCCTCGGCCTGAGCGCGAGTCGCGGCAGCCCCTCCGCCGCCGCCGCCCTGGAGCGCGGCCCTCGCCGCTGCCCTGGACGCAGCTGATGCGCCGCCAGGCTCGCCTCCTGGCTCCTCGCCCCGCACCGGCATGACGAGCGAGTTCTTGACGCCTTCACCGTACCTGTCCATCTTGAGGTAGAACAGGTCGTTGCGCCTGACCAGCGGCACGGCGTCTGGGTCCGAGAACTCGATCGGCTTCGGGATCATGTAGCTCCCGCTCGGCGTGAATACCCACGACGTACCCTTGTCGACCGCCTGCGACACGCCCAGCACTGGCCTCTTGACGTCGGCAACCTTGTAGTCCACCCCGATCTTGTGCCCGCCCTTCGTGTACGTGACGAAGCGCTCGCCGTGGCACGGGATGTCGTCGCCGCTCGCTCCGACCAGCCTGATGCGCTCGCTCAGGTCTCTGAGCGTCTCGTGGGCCCCGTGACTCGGCGGACACACCGATCGTGCAGCACCCGAATCCACCATGACCCAGTGCTCATTGATACCGACGATCTCCTTGCTCTCGAACGTCTCGTGCTCGTTTGCTGCCCCTGGCTGGCTCAGCTGCTCGATCGGACTGGCCCCGACCAAGAATGGCTGCCTCGGCTGCGCGTGCTCGCTTGACGCCTCTGGCTGGCTCAGCTGCTCGATCGGGCTGCCTCCGACCAAGGATGGCCGCCTCGGCTGCTCGTGCTCGCTTGACGGCCCGCTCGAACGACGGTGGGTCGCTGTCGTTGCTGGGGCTGAGGGTGTCGCTGCTGCTCCACTCGATGATGATTCTTGCCCTTCTCCCAGCTCTCCCAGCTCGATCGCGAGGCACCACAATGGCTCTGCCCCGCTTTCGGTTGCGATCGCCATCACTGGCGCCGCGCTCCCCGCGGCGCTCGCCGCTGGTGGAGCTCCCGTCGGCTTCGACTCCTGCTCGACTGCGTTGGTGCCCTTCTTCTTCTTCTGCTCTGCGAGGAACTTCCTGCACTCGCTCTTGACGTGACCTGTCTTGTGGCAGTGGAAGCATCGTCTCTCGGCCCTGTCTTTGGCCGCCTGGCTCTTCTGGTCCGTGGAGTTGTCGCCGCCCTTGCCCTTCCTGCCCTTGCCGTCCTTGCCCTTCTTTCCTTTGCCCTTCGACGCCGCCTCGCGCCTCGCCTTCTCCACCGCGCTCGTGTCCATCGGAACTGGTGGCGGCACTGCTGCGATGGCGCTCCTCGTCGAGATCACCATGTGCACTTCGTTGCGCATGAGCTCCCACGTGACTAGCCTCGACGCATTGTGGACCAGATGCGCTCGAAGAGCCTCGTCCTGAATCCCCCTCTGGAGGATCGCCATCTTGATCCTGTCCCCAATCCTCTCGTGGCTCTGGCTCTCGTACTTCGTGACTTTGAAGTCGAAGTCCGCCAGCATCCCCACGATGTTGTCCTCTGGGAACTGGAACGCGATCAGCTCTTGCAGCAGTCCTGCATGGCGACCTGGTCGGTCGGGCTCGTACATGTCTTGCAACGTCCTCCACGCCCGATAACCTTCTCCGACGCCGACTGGCTTGATGAGCTGCAGCGCGGCTCCTTCCAGCAGCAGGACGAGGATGAAGTACAGCTGGCGACTGCGCTGACTCGCTCCCTCCTCCAGGAGTCTCGCGTTCCTCACCTCCTCCAGCGGGAACGTCATGGCTGCTGTCAGCTCGTTGGCCATCTGCTCGTCGAGGGCCCCGAGGTACGCGAGCATCTTGAAGCTCCACCCTGGCCACTCGTCCTCGCTGCCTCCGAACGCCTTCGGCTTCGCCAGAAGCCGAGTGTCCACCAGATCCTGAGGCGCGGCCCTCGCCGCTGCCACGGGCCTGTTCACGGCGGCGCCTGCGCTCGCTGCTGCTGACTCCGCCGCCAGGGCGCGCTCCTCTGCAGCCTGCACCCGTTGTTCTGCAGCCTGCAACGCTCCCTCGAGCGCCTGGAAGCGTCTCTCGATCTCCTCCATACTTCAGATCGAGCTTCTCGTCGAACTTCCTACTCCTCAGGATGTCTGCTTTGTTCGACCTCGAGCCACGCTTAGTCTTCTTCTTCTTCTTCGGCGGCGTGCTGGGCTATGAAGGGCCGGCTGGCGCGGCCCTCGCCGCTGCCAGCCGCCAGGGCGCGGCCTCCGCCGCCGCCCTATCGCGGGCGCGCGCGCCCGCCGCGGTTGGCTGGAAGGGAAGCGGCAGCGGGAACGAACCCACGCCGCTCCGCTACCATGTCGATGGTTTTTACTTGGACCAAGGGGCTACAGATTAGCATGTACAGTCAACAGGCAGCAGGGCCCCGCGAGTGTTGGCGACGAGTTGTTCTCGTCCCAGTGCCGCTCAGATCTTACGTGAACGTGGCAGTTCTTCTTCGGCGCGGCGCATGTTTCGTCTTCGCCGCCCTCGTCGGATATTTGGCCGCCCGAGGGAGGGTTTACTAGTGCTCTTGCCGCAGCGCCGCGGAAGGATCGCCAGGAAAAAATCCGCTCCCGTCAGGGCGCGGCCCACTTGCTTTACCCTCCGCCGAGCCGTCGGACGCGGGACCGCGCGCGAGCTGCTTTGGGTCTCTAGGCGATTGGTTTTAGTGGCTTGGGAGGGATCGCTTTCGTGCCTCAATGTGCTTCTGGTGCACCCCACCGCTTGCCGGCTGGCGTCTGACTGTGTTGAGCCATTTGGCGCCCGCGAAATCACAAAAAGCTCTGGGAGGGGTGGGGTTGGGCGGGGCCCCTTCTGGGCTTCAGGACGGGGGGTCCCTTTTCCAACGTTTCATCTGCATCCCCCCTTTTCTCTCCTCTTGACGCACCAACGCCCGAGCTGGCACAGAGATGCGTACACTTAAAAGGGTCAGCTTGTGCAGGAGCTTCACAACAATACAACGTATGTGTGAAGGAGTATTGCTCAGATCGATCGAGGACACCAGCAAGGGCTCGAGTCCACAGGATTCGAGCCCATCTAACACCCCACCCGCCCACGCCTGAGGGTGGCGACGGGGGTCCCCCCGTGGCCCGCCTCTCTTTCAGCCCTCAGGCCCCTGAGGCCCCCCCCCCTTGACGTTGGCTGCAATATTAGGGAAATGGAGGTGCGGAGCGAGCGTTCTAGGCGAGCAGGGCATCAGTCAGGAACCCGTCCCGCTCACGTTTTTCACAGGATGGTGCGCAAGGTGCGCGTGCACCCCGTTGGCCAAGCTCTTGTCGCCGTGCCCGCCCAAAGGGGACCCCAGAGTGCTTGGAGGTTGGTCTCTCGGAGGCCGTGGGAGGCAACGCGTCACACACCACAGGAGGGCCTGTGTAGGCAGTTGTTGTTGGCTTCTTACGGGCCTGTCTTTAAGTCGGGCATGTCCCTCTACAGAAGGAACGTTCAAGGATAGTGAAGCACTAGTCTAGTGACGATTTGCCGTGCTCTTTTGACTGTTGTTTACGAGTTTTCGTTTTATTTCCAACATCCACCTGTAGGAGGACATGTCCGACACAAGCCTAGCTTTGGTATCGGGCCTCACGGGGTTCTTCAGCCCACCCACCGCCAGGTCAGTTCTGGATGAGCTGGGGGTGCGCCTAAAGCACGGCCGCGCCGAGTCACTCGCAGTGACCCCAAGACCGCAGAATCCCGCTAAATCCTCTTCGATTTCCTTCTTTTCATTATCCTCATCTTCTTCCGCCTTCTCTTCCTCACCTTTCTCCCTCATCCGTCTTCCCTCCTCCTTGTTATTTCTCCTCACGCCTCACAGTTGTATCCCAGCTGCGAGAATTTCGCAGTGAGCTTGGATTTTCTGGTTTCTTGAGGTGGCTTTCCACCATCTTTGCGCTTTCCACATGGAGCTTGGATAGCCAGGTCTGTTGCCACTGTCTTCCTGATGTTTGCTCTCCGCAGTGAGTTTTGAATGCCAGGTTATTCATCATGATTTTCCTCCAGCTGCGGGCTCCTGACAGTGAGTTTGGATTGTCGTCAAGTCTCTTACGGAAGTTGTTCCGCACCAGTGTGCTCCAAACAGTGAGCTTGATTGTCATATCTCTCAATCAAGGATTTTCCGCATTTGTGTGTTCTACACGGTTAGTTTGGATTGACAGGTTTTATCGGGTCGTTGCTCCTCCCAGTTGTCTCTCTGGAGTGGTTGGCTTCCTCCTCATGACCTCATCGTCCTCGCCCTCTCCGCTTTCCTGACCCTATGCTCGACGGGGGATCGGGTCTCGACGGGGAGAAATGGTACTGCTTTTATCCTCGGGCGCGTATCTGTCGACGATCGGACGTAGAGGACGGGTCTGGACCCTCCCGCATGCTGGTGCTCGCGTGCATACGATGGCGCTCGCAGCGCACCCCCCCCCCGACGAATCAATCTCAATGATGTAGATTTTCCATGGTCGAGGACCCGTCGGCCATCATGCCGAACGCCTCTGACCGCAACCTCCCCCCCTGCGGGGCATCCCAGCGCCCCCGCGGGCCCGAGAGGCGCCCAGTTGCCTCGCTCCCGGCGGCGTTCCGTTCGGCGACCGGTGCCTGTTCTTGGCGAACGACTGGCAGGCGGGGCTTCCCTTTCCAGGCAGGACGAAGGAAGGAAGGACCGCTTTGGGCTCCGGTGGGGCTGGCCGGGAGCCCACGCAGGGGACAGCCGGGGCAACTCGCGGCCGCTCCCGGCGCGAGTCGAAGGGCGACGGAAGCCGTGAAGCCTTTTTGACGACCTCGGGCTCGTGGACCAGGGCAGCCGGCTGGCCGCTTTGGGCTCCGCTTTGGGCTTTCGGGCCGTTCCTCAGAGCTAGGTCGTGGAGCCCCTTGGTGGCCGAGGCTCGCCGTGGCCAGGAAGGCCGCTTCGTTCCTTGTTCGGTGATCCCTGTGGTAGCACGACGGCTGTGGGCCTCGCGTCTTGAACACAGGACAGATGTCGCGACGCACAGTTTGGCTGGCAGTGTTCAGCCTCGCAGGGGCCGTCACCGGGCTCCAGGGCCGTCAGCAGAACCACTCCTGACGAGGTGCCTTTCCCCCGAGATGGGGTGCAGGCCTTGGGGGATCCACGCTGGGAAACACGATCGCGGCGTCGGGCTCTTGGCCCCGACGAGATGCGCGCCCGCCCCTGCCCCGCTCGGCCCCTCCACCACCCCCCCCCTTCCTGCTCGGGCCGACTTCGCCCTGGCCTGTATCGCAGTGGCCTTCACCCCCCGGAGGGCCGAGGCCCCGCTCCAGCGGCGGAGCTCGACGGGAGTCTCCAGGGGGCGGCCAGCGCCGACCCCGGAGATCCGGGCGGAGGGCCGAGAGTTGGCGCTCGAGCGTGCAGCCGCGTGCTCTTCTGTCGCCCTCACATCGTCTCCCCCCTCTGCTCTCCCCCGCTGCCTCCTCTTGCCTTCTCTCTCCCCGTCTTTGCTCTGCCCTCTCCGAGCGCAAGACCGTCGACACACAAGCTCAAAGAGCAAAATGTACAATCGGTCCCAGAAATAAATGCCTTTGCACGATTCGCAGAGTGAGCGTCTGAATTCGAAGTCTCACCAGCGCTGAAGCGCAACGTCGCACGGATAATGCCGAAGCACACGATAATGGATACACGGTTGCCAGTCGTGCCCCTTCCAGTCGCATATTTGTTTTCAGTGCAACGCAGGGACGACCCACCAGTCAGATCGCGGTCGAAGTCTGCTGTCGACAGCTGTGGTGCGCGGCAAGTGGCCTACCATCACCCCTTACATGAGCGATCGTCTTCTGTCGAGACACGTCGCGTCGTGGACGCCGAGTTTCCTGGCCACCAGTGCAACGCAGGGACGACCCACCAGTCAGATCGCGGTCGAAGTCTGCTGTCGACAGCTGTGGTGCGTGGCAGGTGGCCTACCATCACCCCTGACATGAGCGCTCGTCTTCAGTCGAGACGTGTCGCGTCGTGGACCCCGAGTTGCACCGCTCTGAGGGCTGACAGCAAACGGCACCCACGGCGACAGCACCCTCGGAATCTACTTGCGCGGCCATCCGCGAGCGCCGAGGGCCCGCCGGCTCACCGCGTCCCCGCCCACTCCCGCCACCGTGGCCGGAGTGGCCGTGAGAGACCAGCGGGGCAGCGTCGGAGGTTGATCGACTTCCTACCCTGACACGTCGATTAAGGAATTGGCCGTGTTCGGTTCGCGAGAGGGCGTCGCGGCCGTCAGTTTTGCGGGTCCAGGTCCGTCGGTTTCGGTCCCAGGCCGTTTTCACTAAGGGGAGGTTTACTAAAGGAAGGTTTGCCCACCGCCGGGTTGAGCGGGCGCATCGGTTGAAGCCAGCGGAGTCCTGGCGGGAGCGTCGTCACGGGGGGGAGGCGAGGGTTGCAGGTGAGGGGCCTTGCAGTGGAAGCCCATGTCAAGAAGCGCCCTGCTTGCCTCCAGGGTGCCCTGGGTTTCTAGGGTGTCGATGGTTTTGCTATGGAAAGCGTGACGTTCCCAGATAAAAAAGCAATGGACATCCCAGGGTTTAGGGTTGGGTTTCTTGTGGAAGGTGTCTTGTGGTCGAACGCCTGCTGTAGAGGGGACGCCTGGGTCTTCGAATGTGCACAGAGGTGCATCTTTCGTCACCCCTCCGTCTGCTGCCCCCCATTAAGTAACGCCCGAGCTGGCGGGTGCAGAGCCCGCGGCCGCAGACCAAGACCCGCTGAGCCCTGAGGGCACGCAGCCGCGCGCGCGCGCACGGCTCGTACTCAGCGTCCCTCCCCTTCCCTTCCCTTCCCTTCCGAGTTGGCGGGCGGGGGCGTGATCTGGAGGGCGCCGTTCGTATACTCGACACCGGGCCCCGGGGATGCCAACCCTGGGACCATCGGCGACTCGGCGAGGTGGTGCGCATTCCTCAGGCCAGGGCAGGAGGGCGCACGCACGAACGGTACGGTAGGTTCGCGTCGTGTCGACCGGCGGCGACCCCGCTAGCGGCGTTCAAGGTTGAACGCCGACGGCGGCCCAGAATCGGTCGATGTTGAACGATCGGACGTTGCGGAGACGGCCGATCGTTCAAGGTTGAACGATCCAGCGCGGTGTCGGGAACCAACGCCGGGGTCGACACGACACGAACCTGCCGTAGGCCCGGAGCGGGCCTGGCCAGGATCGGTGCTGGCAGATGGTTGGCGTTCTCTTGGAGACGCCGAGCGTGGTCTAGGACCCAGGCGTCCTCTTGGCCAAGAGCCCAGGGTGATCTTCTGGAATCCTGGGGGCACTTTGGGGATCCCAGGCGTGGTTGCAATCCCTGGAGCGTGAGATTCAGGATCGGTGTTAGTCTATCCTTGGCCGGAAACCGTCCTAATCCTGCCAATGCCCCCAAATCCGCTTTGGTTCCTGGCTTCACCTGGCTTAACGGCCACTTCAGCGTCTTATTCGATAGCAAACCTTGAGAGCCCCGTAGACCCTCTTGATTCCATCTTTAGCGTCGATTAGCGTCTGTTAACCGATGAGATAGCGCCGATTTAGCTTCGACCAGCGTCGAATAGCGTCGGTGCGCAAGAGCCAGCCGATTGCATGGGAGGCCCTGATGCGTGCTCACGGGAAACCCTCAGACGTTGCCTCCTAATCCAGGCATCCCTGGAACGGTCTCTTCCAGGGGCGAGCCGTCTCCGCGGGGGCAGGGCGTGGGCCTTCTGAGACCCCTCCGGGCCATGGACGTGCCACGCTCCTGCCTGTGCCCTTTCCAAACCTCGAAGAAGAATAATAACTTGCATTAACATAAACCGTCGACATATATTTTCGACGTTCCGCGGGGATTGCTTGGATCGGCGCTGGGCCCCCCTGGCGGCGCCTCTGGCGTCGCCCCTGGCGCGCTCCGCGCGCCAGGAAGGGGGGTCCGGCGCAGATCCAGGAATTCTGCGTGGACCTGGGTTTGGCACTCTTGCCTGTGCCTGCATGGGCTTGGGCGTCGCGCCGTCCTTCCGCTCTGGCCCGACGGGCCCGACGGTGCTGCACGTGTGCAGACATGCATGAATGTCTCATTGCGTGAACGTGTTGCGAACCGTAGCCACCAAGGCTCGAATCTAGAAGTCGCAAGGCACGTCCTAGAGCCAGGCGGAAAAGTTGCGCAATCACAGCTTGAGGGCTCTTTGGCATCATCATGGCATCCCCGAGACATGGTGGCCAGCCGAAGGGTGGCCGCCGCCTGGGAGTCCGCGGGGGCCGGGCGCGGTCGGCGCAGCCAGGCCGCGCTGCTGCCAGTGTACCTCACGCACCGGATGCGGCCCTCCGGGAGGCGCGGGGCTCCGGGGCTCGCTGCTGACCGATTTACCCCAACCCAACCCGCATTTGGACGCCCGAAGTGGATGCGGAAAAAGTGGGTACAAAGCCCAACAGCGCAAGTGGTTGTCCCGAGCCATCAGCGGCCGCTGTTGGGCAGGCGGCCTTTCTTTTTCAAGTGGACACAGGCCGCGGCGACACCGACAGCGAGTCTTGTTCAAAGAGGACAGGAGCTGCTGTTGGTCTGTGTGCCCATCCTTTCCCGCACCCATGTCTTCGATCGTCTCGACCGAAGCTTCCAGACCCCCCCAAAAGACGGTGAACCCCGTACGTCTGCGGGCACCACTGTGATTCCTTCCTCGATGCTCCAGGGCGTCCCCCCACTGGAAACTGGGCAGGTGGCTTTCGGTGGGTGGCCGGGGGCCGCGAGGGGCAGGCCAGCCCGGGCCCTGGGTGCAGTCGGCCTGGATTGGTGGGTCGACCCTGTTCGGGGGTTGCTCGAGGTGCCCCCAGCTTCCCCCCCCCATCTTGGAGCCCCTGGGGCCCTCTCGGCCTCGTGAGGGGTGCTGTGGAGGCAGTGGGGGCACCTCGGGCCAGGGCCACTTCTAGCAACATCCGACTTGAGTCCTGTCTTGAGAGGCCCGTGCCTTTTTGCGTTCCTGCGGCAATACAGCCCTCGGAAGGGTCTTGTGGCGTCTCGTGTCCTCACCCAATCAAAATTTACTATCATCTGCCGCTTTTTCGTTGTCTAGTTTCTCTCGGCCCTCTCCGCCTCCCCTCGAGCGAGAGGCTAGGGGGAGGAGGGAGGCCGATGGCAATGTAGCCCTGGGAAGGGTCTTGTGCCCTGGCGCGTGTCCTCCCCAGTCAAGCCCGACGGTAACGTAGGGCGCAGAAGCCTCCCTGAGAGCCGGGCGTCTCCGTTTTGTCCGGGCCGAGCGGTCTGCGCCCAGGGTCGGGCCCCGGGGTCCGGAGGCGGGGTTCAATGCAACCGGGGGTCAGCCAGAACGCCAGATCTTGCAGGATCCTGGAAGGCCAGGGGTGCACTGACCCAGGTTTGGGTGCAGGATCTGGCAGGATCCTGCAAGGCCTGACTGTCCCAGGTTCGCAGTCGCCCGGGTCAGCACGTCCCCGATCGGGCCCAGGGGTTATGACAGGCCGAGGCGGCTCGAAAGGTGGCGCAGAGAGATGGGGTCCGCGGCTCTGGCCGTGATTTCCCACGATGTCGCACTTTTTGTCACGTCGTCGGATCTCAGAGTTCCGCTCGTCTTTGATGGCGCCATGTAGCGCCGAAAGGCACCCCAGTAGCGCCCGATAACGACCAATATCGCCCAATAGCGCCATGTGAGGAAGACTCATTCTGTCCGCTCTGCGCCCGATGTTGGGCGCCATGGGACGGCAAACAGCTTCCGTGATATGCTTTCTAACACACCAGATGTCCCTCGCCCCCGTCCAAGGTCAGGGGCTAGAGCGGGGCCGAGGTGGGGAAGGACAGATGTACTCGCCGCGGACGCTTCCACATGCGTATCAGTTCCTTCCTCCCCCCCAGGTCAAGGGGGCCGTGGTGGGGACTGACAGATCGCCGCGGACGTCTCCACATGCGTATCAGATCTCCTTCCTCGCCCATCCTGGATCAGGGGCTCGATGGGGACCGATGTGGGAACGGGGAACTTCGTTCGACGCGGATGTCCTCACTTGCGGATCTATCTATCTTCCACCGTTGTCCCTGATGTGTGCTGGAATGAGGACGAAACCGAGTGTGATTGAGACTGGTTGTCATTGTTAACGGGTCTGAATGTTGGTGAGTACGTATGGGTCAATGGTGGCAGGTGTGTTAGCGGGTGAGCGGATGTGAGTGCGAGTGGATGTTGTGCATTGCGTGCGGGGGGCTGGCCGATCCGCCCCTCTCCAGGGAGGACGTACAGGCTTCTCACCACCTCAGCGGTCACATTTAGGCGCGCCTGGGTTCGTCTTGAAGCCCCTCTGGGCTCATCTTGGGGCTGTGTTGGGCCACCTTTAGGCGATCTTGATCCCTCGGAAGGCCCTCGAAAGCGAAAAGCACACAGAAGAAAAACTAGCACAGCTTTTGAACGAATTCAGCATTTCGGGTGCGTCCTTGGCAGGCTCCGAGGCCTCTTGGAGCCGTTTTCAGACAAAACGTATTCGATGTTGTTGGAGGTACGTTAGAGCCTATCTAGACCCATGTTGATCGATCTATTCTTTGGCATCTGATTCGTCTGGGGCAGCCTTGGAGCCACCGTGACCGGAAGGCATCCCATGTATTTCCCTGAAAAGAAAAGCCACAACCACCATATGTTGTGCCAAACAGCTATATATGGAGTGTACTGAAATAGCCGAGCGGTGCGAATTAGCGCCGCCCACCTGGAGCACGACACCTTGCCGAGCGCGCCTGGGACGGTATTCGGAGCGCTCTTGGGACCGTCTTTGACCTCTTCATATCCATTTTTTGGGGGTCTTTTGGCGCCATATTGAAGCCTCAGGGGCTCATCGGAAGCGAACATATTATCACTGACATCCATTAGGTTCTCGAGTGATGTTTGCCTGCCCCTCGGAGGTCTCCCTAAGGTCCGTGGCCAATTGGAGCCGTCTTGGGATAGTCTTGGGGCCTGTTGAAAGCATGGGCCATCTGTGTTGCCTCCTTGGGCCAACCAAAGCCCTGGTGCCGCAATCTTGGGCCGTCTTGTACGCTCGAACCGCTCGCGCCCCCCCCAGACCCAGGAGGGGACTTCCCGAATACACTCGGCCCAGATTAGTAGGCCGACCCTGCCAAATGAAGGGTACCATTGGGTACCTTTGTGTCCTGTGCCTTGCGACCCATGCCTCCTACATCCCCCATGCCAATGTGGCCCTCGGAAGGGTCCTGTGTCCCCTCGCGTGTCCTGTCCAATCGAGTCCGGCCGTAGGGCGGTTACCGCGCCTCCAGTCGCCGGAAGGGCCCTGCAAGGCGGTGTGCGGTGCGGGGGTGGGGCCCGCGCTCCGAGACGATTCCAAGAGGCCTGCAGGAGTGTCGGGGAGGCCTCCCGCTCGACGGCGCCCAGAACGGCCTCAGGACGGCCCAAGAGGCCCGAGCATGTTCAGCACTTTCGCCTTCTTGTTCTTCACAGCGCCCAGGAGGCTCAAGAGGGGCTCGGGAGGGCCCGACGGCCCTCGAGGCCCGAAAGACGCACCCAAGACTGGCCCAAGAGGGCCCGAAGGTCCCAGCTCCTACCATGTTGCGCACAGTTCAACAAAGCCCGAACAACGCCAATCCGCCCCTGAGAGGTCGAGCCCTGCAGATGCCGAAAAGGCCAACAAGGCCTCCCCAAGACGGCCCCCGAGGCCCCCAAGACGTCGCCAAGACGGGCCTAGAAAGGGCTTCCAGATGGCTCCCAGATGGCCCAAGGGGCTCAGGAGGGGCCACAGAGGATCCCAAGTCGGCCCCCAAGGCCTCCACGAGGCCCCTAAAGACGGCCAAGAATACCCCAGGCTTTTACATGTTTCGAAGATGGCTCCCAGATGGCCTAAGAGCGGCTCAGGAGGGGCCCCGGAGGAGCCCACCACAGCCTCGAGGCTTCCAAGACACCTCCCAAGACGGGCCCACGAGGGCCCCGATACGGCCTCAGGTTCTTCCATGTTCTGAATCGGCCAGCAAGGCCCATCCAAGACTGCCCCCGATGTTCCCAAGGCGCTCCCAAGTCGTTCCGAAGAGGGACCCAAGGAGTCTCTCCACTTGTCGTGCTGGTCTGCCGTGCTGGTCCGCCGTGTTGGTCTGGTCTGACGTGCTTGTCTGCCGAGCTGGTCTGCCCATGCTGGTGCTGGTCTGTCTTGCTGGTCTGCCGAGCCGGTCTGCCGTGTTGGTCTGCCTTGCTGATCTCCCGTGCTGGTCTTCCGTGCTGGTCTGCCGTGCTGGCCTCCCATGTTGGTCTTGCTCCTTTGTCGCTCTCCCCGTCGATCCTGTTCGCGCGGTGTCTCGGCCTCGTGCCCTGTTCATTCGAATATCCTGGGTTACGCGAGGGGGAGAGTCTTGTATCGTGGGGAGAGGAGGGGGGAGCCTCTCCCCGGAGTGGGATAGTCTATGCCCAGATGGGTGGCGTCTATGCCTCCTGGATGGCTGGTCAGAGGATCGCGCCGCATCGCCGATGTATCGGCGATGAGGCTCGACGTGGAGCCCGTTTTTCTCCCCACCGATATCGCCGATGCACCGCCGACGTCGCCGATGCATCGGTGATGCGGCGAGACCCTTCGAACTCATCTGTGCGGACCCCGTTTGGGAGGCTTCTATGGTGGCACTACTGAAGCCCCTGCCAGGCGGCCAACAAGCAATCTAAGACTTCCCAATGTGCCGACAGCACGGTGGCGGATGTGTGTTTCGCCGTTCCCGTCTCTTGGGGGCGCGCCGTTCGTTGGGGTTTGGCACTATTCGAAGCGATGATGTTCAGGCCTCCCAGATGGGGTCAGCGTAGAAGGGATCGGGGGATCGCGCAGCACCGCCGATGTATCGGCTATGCGGCTCGATGTGAAGCCCGATGTTCTCCGCGCCGACGTCGCCAATGCACCGTCAACGTCGCCGATGCGGCGTGGTCCTCCTATCCCATCCACTCGGACCCCATTCGGGATGCCTCTATCATGGCAATGCCTGGGAGACAATTGCCCTCGGTCCCTAGTTGTAGATTGAGTTCGAACGTTTCGATTGGTTTGTCGCTGGCTTACGCCGGAGCATCCCGTATACTCCTTCGGTCTGCAGCGGCAGCGACATCTCTAGTGGGCGTATGCATTCCATTCGAGGTAATCGTCGGGGCCGCGCAGCTCCCTCTTGGAGGCTGTAACATCTCGAGGTCGGTGGTTAACTTTCCACGCGGGCGGCTGATCAGACGGGGCTAGGACGAGGATAAATCCATTCCAGAGCGTTCTCAGCGCGCTCAGGAACCGCTCTGAGAAGGCCGCGTCGCCCGAGACATGTTCCAGAACCGTCGGATCTCAGAGATTCCCGATTTATCCTCGCCCGATACTATCCTCGTCCTGACTTCGTCTTAGCTGGAGCCTGGCAGTTTTGAGCGCTGGGGCGGCGACGCGCCCCGAGGTCACGCTTTCAGGGCCGCGCAGCAGCACGGGGCCAAAGCTGCCCGCATCGGCAGAACCCGATGCCATGCCCTCTTGTCAGGGGCGCACGTTTTCAGGTGCAGAGAGACGGCCACCTCCCATGAGCAGTGAGTGGCTGCGCTCGTAGAGCGGGTTTCTTTTCCAGGAGCAGGCCGCAGCGGCCCATGCAGGGGATGAGTTGCGTCTCCCCTCGAGACGGCCCCAGGCCCCTCTCAGGAATTCCTTCCTGTTGTTCTATGTTCCTTCTTTCGGGGGAACGTAAGACCCGGGTTTGCCGGGACTCGGGTTCGCCATCGTTTTTTGACGACCGCGCCTCGGATTTTGACGAGGAGGAGTTTCGTGGGATGTCTGCAGCGGGAGGCCTCGTCAAAATGCAGGCTCGGCCTCGTCATTTTTTTGACGACCTCGTCGGGATTTCCGAGTCCCCCGTACCCGGGTCTTACGTCTCCCCGATTCTTGGTCACGGGCGGGGGCGCGACGGCGTGATCGTGCGCGCCTTGCGATCCGGGCCGGAGCGCTGCCGCTCTCTGGGGCGGCGGCCCGATGGGCGCGACGCGCCGTCGCGCGTGGCGCATCGCGGGGGCGCGGTGCGCGGAAGTGGGTGGCCCAGCTCCCCTCCTCCTCCCCCTCCTCCTCCTCCTCCTCCTCCTCCTCCTCCTCCTCCTCCTCCTCCTCCTCCTCCTCCTCCTCCCCCTCCTCCTCCTCCGGCTCCCTTCTGTCCGGCTCTCCTCCCTCCCCTGCCTCCGTCTGCGCGCGCGGCAGGATGCAGCTGTCGAACATTTTATGTGAGCGCAGCCGCCACGGCAGGGAGAGGGGGTGGCAGGTACACGGGCTCGCGGTGCATCTTCGTCGTCCACAACTTCGGCTACCAGGCCAGGCGCTGGCATGGGACGCATCTGACCGCACCCCAACGTGGAACGCGTTTTTTGTTTCCAGCGTGCATGTCTAATCATAGGCGAGCTACAATTGCCTGGAGATCTACTGCTGCTTGCTGCGGGCCCTCGGTGGTATACCACTGTCCAGCGCAGCATAGCCAGCCCATGGCTACCCTCTCAAACTACCACGTGCTCCTCATGGTTGTAGTGTGGCTGCCTCACATCTGCCCGTCGGCTCACCTCAAAGCTGCCGCACGATTACCCCGCGACAACAGGAAAGGCACCGCGTCTTTGCCTCGATGCTACCGCTGTCCCAGGTGTCCGACTACCTCCAGCTGCATCTCGTACCATGGTCTCCCCATATGTCATCCCATGTCAACCACTCTTTGGGGTATCTAACAGCTGGCCCACAGCGACATCACGGCTACCGCACAGAGACCTGATGGTTATTTCGGAGGCATCCCTCACTAGTTACACCGTTGCTACCGCGAGTCCATGTGATGGCTGCACTACAGCCGCCGTCTAGACCACTTTGCATATACTTTGTTGATGTCCCCGTTTGCCAACCACAAGCTCCCTGGTGGATCCTTCGTGGCCCCTGCGTCGCCCTCTTTTATCTACCCTATGATTGTGTCACAGGGGTCTACCAGCTGCCAGCCTCATGATTACCTTTCTAGCAGTATGGTTTCCACCGCCTCGTTACCGTCGGGCTGCACCTTTCAAAGTGAGAGGGTGGTTGAGCATCTCACCATACAAAAGGGGCAGCCGCGTAACTTAAGCATTGGCCGCACAGAGTTGATCCCTCAAGCCCGAGCCTCGAAGTCCGAGGTTCTACGCATGCACGCCATCCATTCGAACATCTCGACAGTGTACCTGGCGGGTCGGGGGGCCCTGGTCCTCCCGGCGCCAGAGAGCCCAACACGGCTTCACAGGCTCCCAAGAGGGTCCTCAGTCGGTTCAAGAGGGCCCGAGTCTGCCCAAGACAGACCCAAGACGGCCCAAGATGCTCTCAAGACTGCCTAGAAGGCCCGCAGTACGCCCCTGGAGCCTGAGGGCCCCGTGCGGCTCCCCAAGATGGTTCCGAGCAGCCAACGTCACTGATATTCCTAAGGTTTTGGAGGATCGAGTCTTCGAGCTTTCGGGCCCCAAGGACGGCCCAAGAGGCCCCCGAGGTGGCACTGACACTGCTTAAAAAGCCTACAAGAGCCCCCCAAGAAGGCCCAAAGAGGGGCCATAGTCGGCCCAAGAGGCCCCCAATATGGCTCAATGAACCCCTTTGGACTCCAAGAGCCCGAATACGGTGCCAGAGGGCCCCGAGTTTGCCCAAGAGGTCCCCTAGACGGCCCAACATGATATTAAGACAGCCCCATATGCGCCGAAGACGCCCCATGATGTCACCAGGAGGACCCCAACGAAGGTCTCGAGACGTGACCGGCATGGATTTTCCACGCCAGGGGCGCAAGCGCGCGTCGACAAACTTCGTCTCACGCAGCGCCGTGGATTGAATCCACTGGTCCGTACAATGATATTTCACCGGGGAAAAGTCTAATCAGTAGATGATTTGAAAATTAATATTATGAATCTTGAGATCGATTGTGAGATCGACCATGGTATCGATAGTGTAATCGATAGTGAGGACGATTGTAAGTTCGATCGTGTGACCGAGAGAAAATCTATTCAATGAGATCGATAGTGAGATCGATCGCGAGATCGCTCATGCGATCTCTAGTGATATCGCTTGTGAGATCGATAGTGAGATCGATTGTCAGATCGATGGTGAGATCGATAGAGCAATGGGTAATAAGATCGATGGTGAGACCGATCGGTAAGAAGATCGACCAGGAACCCGGGAACCAGGGAACATCGCCGCCCTCCGAAATCGGCCCGGATCTCGGAACCGGGAAACCGGGAACCAGGAAGCGGGAACCCGCGAACCCAGCCAGCAACCAAAATCGGCGGGTTTTTTTCGCCAAATTCTTCAACATCCGCGAGGACACCTTCAGTGCAAGCACTGATGGGGGAAATACTATGGATCTTGAGATCGATTGTGAGATCGACCATGGTATCGATAGTGAAATCGATAGTGAGGACGATTGTAAGTTCCATCGTGAGACCGAGAGAAAATATATTCAATGAGATCGATAGTGAGATCGATCGCGAGATCGCTCATGCGATCTCTAGTGATATCGCTTGTGAGATCGATAGTGAGATCGATTGTCAGATCGATGGTGAGATCGATAGAGCAATGGGTAATGAGATCGACTGTGAGACCGATCGATAAGAAGATCGACCAGGAACCCAGGAACCAGGGAACATCGCCGCCCTCCGAAATCGGCCCGGAACTCGGAACCGGGAAACCGGGAACCCGGAAGCGGGAACCCGGGAACCCAGCCAGCAACCAAAATCGGCGGGTTTTTTTCGCCAAATTCTTCAACATCCGCGAGGACCCCTTCAGTACAAGCACTGATTGGGGAATGTGTGCATCATTGGTACATGGTAGCCTATTCCTGCGCCTCGTCCACCATCGTACAAAGCTGCAAAAACGATAACCTGGCATCCAGTGTAAACATCGAAAACTCCTACGGCTAATCATCGCCGCCCCCTGCCTTTTCGAAACGCCCGCGCGGCCAAACTTTGGGCCGAAGTCTGGCAAAGCTATTGGACTACGTGTTCCTCAACTGTCTGGAACCCCATGGTGAACCACTTGCGAGAGGAAGAGAAAGGAGAAGGAGGAGGAGGAGAGGGAGGAACAGGAGGACGAGGCGGAGGAGGAGGAGGAGGAGGAGGAGGAGGAGGAGGAGGAGGAGGAGGAGGAGGAGGAGGAGGAGAAGGAGCAGCAGGAAGATGAGGAGGCCTCTTGAGAGCCTCTTGGGGGCTGCCTGGGAGCCTCTTTGGGGCTCTTCGTGGGGGCCTCCTCTTGGGGGCCTCCTGGAGCCTCTGTGGGACCTCTTGGAGGCTCCTGGGAGCTTCTGAGGGACCTCTTAGCCTTTGGAGGCCGTCTCGTGGCCCTCTCTGGGCAGTCGTCTGTCCCTCTTTGGACGCTTTAGGGCCGTCTTGGAGGTCTGTGGGACCGTCTTGGCGGCTTCTTGGGCCGTCTTGGGGCCCGCTGGGGCTGTGTTGCTGGCCTCTTAGGGCTCCCTTCAGCCGTCGTGGGGTCGATCCAAGTGTCGGACGCCCGAAAAGGAGAAAACGCTAAACACGTTCAAAGACCACAGGACAATCAACACTTTTAGCCTCCTGGAGGTCCTCTCGGAGCCCTCTGAGGCGTTTTGGGGGCCTTTTGGGCCGTCTGGAGGGTACCTTGGGCAGTCTTAGGGCCACCTTAGCCGGCTTGGAGGCCTCTTAGGCTCTCTCGGGACCAGCTTAGCCGTCTTGGTGACCATCTTGGAACCATCTTGGCCGTCTTGGAGGCGAGACCTCTGGTTTGTCCCTCCTTACGCGTCCTTGCGCGTCCTTCAATGTGGGCCTTGGCGAACTTTCAAACATGAATAACGACAACCTAAAATCTGACGCGCCGTGCACCCTCGTGGTCAGCAAATAGGGAGCGATGGATGACGGACAGCGCGCGCAGCGTGCGATCCATCCGTTGGTCAGAATACATGGATTTAGGGCGAGTGTGAGCGGGTTGGCAAGCGGAGCGGCAGGGATCAAATAGCCAATTGTGTGATCTCGTTCGGGGCATCCACAAACATTGAGATGTCGTTGGGTCGTTCTTGGAAGGCCTCAAGGCGGCCCAACCTAGCCCAACGAATTGAGATGTCACTAGGGACATCCTCATGCAACTTACATGTTTTCGATACCGCTCTGTCTCAACATGGCGATTCCGCTAAGGACATTCTTGCCATCATTGCATGTTGTCGTCGTCGTGGTCTGTTGTCTCGAGCTGGCCCACCATTACGAGTCCGCTGGGAACATCCTCGCACGAATGAGATGGTGCCGACATCTTTCTCGCCCCACACGGTAATTCCGCGAGGGTCATCCTTACAAGCATGAGGCGTTGTCGACATCGTCGTGGTCTCGGCCTTGCCCACCATCGTGATTTCGCTAGGAGATTGCTCAACACGTGACAGGTTGTCGACATGTTTTTGGTATCGTTCTTGCCGAACAGGCGATGTCGTTGGGGACATCCTCAATATTGATATGTTGTCGACGTCGCCTTGAAATCGCTCCAAGGAAGCCCGCGGGGCTCCCAAACGGACTCCTAGAAGGCTCAAGAGTGCCCGCAGACGGACCGAGAGTCTCCCCAGTTTGCCCAAGAGGGCCCCAAGACTCTCGACGGATGGGACAAGGGCGAGGTGAAGATAGGACAAGTGGAGCGGGAACGGACAAGCTAGCGCCCCGCGCGATCACAAAGTAAGTTGCGTGTTCCATCCCCGTGCCCAGCAGTTCTAGTGGCCTTCTGTCCATCCCGCCACCGTGCCTGTGTTGTGGATCAGAGTTCTCGTGGATGCGTATGCAGGTATTTGAGAATCTCTCTCTCTCTCTCTCTCTTGGGCGTCTTGGCCTTTGGTGGGAAAAGGCTCGAACTGCCATTTCGAGTTCCCTCTCTTGTGGCCCTGTTCGAGATCTCTTGGGTCGTGTTTGAGGCCTGTTGGGGGCAGTCTTGGAGGTCTCGTGGGGCCGTCTTGGGGACCTCTTGGGGCGTCTTGGAGTGATACTGGGGGCCTCGTAGGCAGTTTTGAAGCGTCGGAAGCCCCAAATGGCGAAAACATTGATGATTGGGCATCATGATTTGGGTCTCTTGGAGCCCTCTTCGGGGTCCTCTTGGAGCCTTCTCCGTGCGTTTTTCGAGGCCTCGTGGGCCGTCTTGAGGCCATCGTTGGCGTCTTGAAGAGCTCTTGGACCGTCTCGTTGCCTAATGTGGCTATCTTGGAGGTTCCTTGAAGCCCTCTTGGCGCGCTTCGGGCCCTCTTCCTTCCGCGAATGTCACGCGATAACACGCAGCATTACCCGAGACCGCCTGGAGTTCGAGGCTGTGGACCCCAGGATCCGAGGACTCGCCACTCTGTGCCTCGAGGCACGGTGGTGCGTAGAGGGTTGTATCTGGAGTTTGCACAACACAGCTTCATACTTTTCCCGACACTTCCAAGGGAAATTCATGTTGTTCGCTCAAGGTCCAGTTGTCCGTGTAAGGTGTGTGGGTCGAATGGCCTTCTAGACGACGTCGTGCTTCGGAGTCTTCGGCGTGCAACCACATCCGATCGCGAGTATTTGTCGACTTGGTAGCCACTCCGACTGCCCAGCCGATGTTCATTCAGCAATTTTTTGGAGCGCTCTGGTGACAGGCGAAGGAGGGAAAGGAGGATGCCGAGCCGAGGGAGGAGGGAGAAACATGATGTGAACGTTCTATATGCGTTGACTCTCGCTTACCCTGTCTGCATGTTTGTATTTGATGCCCGCGTTGTCTGGTTCCTGCGAACAGTTCGCAGTGTTATCCTCAGAATGCGAGGGTAGGTGAGGGGGTCAGAGAGTGGGGTAGTGACAGAGTGTGGGAGGACGCGACAGGGCCAGGAGGGGTGATGGGAGGGAATGGGAAGGGAGGGATAAGTATGGGGAGGCTTTGAAGGGCCAGGCCATGGGGTTATCACACCGGGCGTTTGCTGTGATCAACCAAGCGACCAGCCGCTTTCCGCTGCGTTTGTTCCTCGTCGTCCTCCTTTTCTTCTCTGATGCGGCATGAGGGCAGGGTCGCTGGTGCGCTGCTGCCGGTGCTGCCCTCCGCTCGTTAGTCCAGTGCTGTTCCTTGGCTCAAGTGCAGGACGTCGACGTGGTGAGACAGGATGGATCCCTAATAGATCTGAACCGGGGTTTATTATGTTCCAGGATTCGGGTTCACAATGTCTCCCCCGGAACATTATTAACGTGGGTTTAATGTCTTGGGAATATTGACTGGGGTTCATACTGTTCCCCCCGGAACATTATAAACCCTGGTTTATAATGTTCTGGGGATCGACCCCAAAAGCAGATCATTTTGGATTCACCACGTTCTGGGATTATTGACTGGGGTTTACAATGTCCAGGGAATAATGAACCCGGTTTTCGTAATTCCGGAATGATAGTAATTATTAGTTTCCCCCCACTAGGTTTTTCATGTAGGAATATTGACCCCGGTTCATTATCCCCAGGAGATAATAAACCCGGTTTCGCAATGTTCCCGGAATATTGACCCCGGGTTATTCATTCTGGAATGGTAATGATTGAGCCTGGGGGGCGCCGTTTGAGAGTACGTTCCGGACTGAACTAAACCCTGGTCCATAATGTTGAAAATGTGAAACTTAGGTTGATTATTCCGGAAAGATACAGATTCGGCCGGGGGGGGCTGAGCCCGATCCATTCATTGGACAATAATACATAGGGTATCAACTGAAAATAACGAACCAAGGTTTTCATAGCTGGGTATCAACCACGGTCGACGAGGATTTCGGAGGTGGCCTCTGGTAAGGAGGACAATCCGAGTAAGCTATGTACCAACATGCTAGTGGAGCACTTGTCTTACATCGAGTACTTTCGATGTTGGCATACATATTCATTTGCTAACTGCCGTCGGGACAGCGAGTCAGTCAGAATTGCTCATTGGTGTGCTCTGTTATGCGGATGGCTCGCTGAGGTTCACCCTTAGGTCATTCATATCTTGAGGTAATGTCGGAGGGTACCCACGAGGGGCGCGCGGGACAGTGATTCTCAGGAGATGGTCGTTGACACCGTGGTGTGTCAGCAACGCAGTTCTGGATTTGATTGCCTTTACAGTCAGCTGTGCCGGTACCTGTCTCAACACACATACACATACAGGTTTGAGGTATCGCCGAGAGTGTCGCGAAATTGAGTACCAGTATCACGAGCTTGTCTTTATGCAAAGTATTGGCGTCCATTCTGGTCCGAACTATATGATCGATTGCAGCAAGCGGCACCGCGCCAAGAACGAGATGAAGGCTCGGTGATAAGCATGCTGGCGAGTCATGATGTCAGCAGTGCCGCCACATGTATGCCTGCCATTCCGGCAGCGGGTCCAGTTCTGTTCAACAGAGCGGCGTCAAACAGAGTCGCAGGATGTCCTGCGCTCATGGGTGCAGAGTTGCGGACAGAGATGGCGTCGTCCAGAGGTTGGCGAGGGCTCGACCTCAGCGTGCGTTCACGATCGGCAGCCCATTTGGACCAACCACACTGGACATGGCTTGCGGTGACAAACAAGAATTTTTAGTCGTTAACGCCTCGCAATCCGAGGCAGAACAGCTTGTGTGAGGTCGTGGTCCCTGGGGTTCAGCTATCGGGTCTGGCTAAGACACTCGCAGACAGTGAACAGTGATGACGCCCAGTCGCAGTCGTAGACCACGAGCCACCCACTGCGTCGAAATGCGTCTGTTCGACAGAGTTTGGATCGCCATGGGCCATGGGTATCACATTGCAGTGGATTGCCCCCTGCCTGCCGCGATTGTGTCACCGTGCGCTGGATAAGCACGTGCGCCCAACATCGGACTTAGGATGATGCCTTTGTGTTGTTGCAGAACGCTGGATCCGAAGGCACATCGCATCGCTTGTCATACCCAGCACATCACATCGCCCGCTACACGTGCGCCTGCGGCTCTGCCGGCTTGAGGATAAGGAGCAGGAGGAGGACGAAGAGAAGGATGAGGAGGACGAGGATGAGGAGGACGAGGATGAGGAGGAGGATGAGGAGGAGGGGTAGGCGGAGCACTCTCGATTTTTCAATATCTCGCAGAACCCTCATTGCTCATAGGACATCCAGATACCCAGTCACCCTGCTGCTTCCTCGTGCTCCTCCCCGTTCTCCCCTCTCCCTTTCGACCTCACTCCTCCCTCCCTTCCCCCCAGTATTCTTCGTCCTCAAGGTGTCTTTTTGTCAGCTTTAGGCGTTGCGTTCCTCCCCACTCTTCCCAGTCCCGCTTCGTAAACTCTTTGGTTTTCTCGAGAGACTTTTTTCCCACATATTCGATGCTGTCTGTGCGCAGTATCTTTCTCTTGTTCAACCTCGGCGTCGCCCCCCCATGCCATTACCCCCTATGGAGTTTTAACGGGTAACCGTCTTGCAACGCGAGCTGAGCAAAGGGCATCTACCCGTGCAACAAGCTTATGAATTTCGATGGGAACGCGCTTCCTTCGATCGTGAAGGACATTCGTTGCATCAGTAGTGGAGGTTGTGGTGCTATGTCATGGTGACAGCAGTAGCGGTCTGCTCAGAAGTGGAGGAGGACAAGAAGGATGAGGTTGAGAAGCGGTGGGGTCAGACCGGGTGGGAGGATGAGGGGGATGAGAGGGGAGGGAGGGGGGACAATGGGATGCTACTGAGGTTGAGGAAAAGGAGGAAGAGGAAGAGGAGGAGCAGGAGTATGAAGAAGAGGATGGAGACAACGAGGAGCATGAGCAGGAAGAGGGAGGAGGATGTGTATGGGGCGGTGAGGGGGGGAAGAGGAGCGGCATCCACATCTCAAACAGCAACACAACACCACATCGTTTCTGGATAGAAGGGTGATCGGTTCGAGCGCGGCTTGGATGAGGTGCACGTGGAATATGCGGTGGCTGTTGCATGTGCTCTCTCCATCAGTACGGGAGGAAGGTAGGCTCAGCCTCATGCCCCTTACGTCTCATCGCCTGAAATTCCTCTGCCCATTGCTGCGCGCTCCCTTTTATCCCTTTCCGCTTGTCCTCCCGTGACCTAATGAACACAGGGGAGGCAGGGACTCGTCGGACTCCCCTCCGTCACGGTCGATGCGAGTTGGACGGACACCCGAGCTCCTCCAGATCGTGCCTCGCCGCAGAGTTCAGCTCGGATTCTGAAGGGCAGAGGGAGCGTGGCATGCGTTGTCAAGCGTGGCACGCGTTTTTCTAGGCGATTCGCAACGCAGGAAAGTGTGGTGCTCAGTGTCTCTCCGACTTGTGTGTGCGTGTGTGTGTGTGTTTTCAGTGCTTTCCACTCCCCGCTCGCGGGGGGGTGTTCTGAGTGCTTGAACGCGTACAGATACGTCGGCACCTCTCCTCGATTCGGCTCGAAGATCTGGCAGGACGATGTCTTGGCATGGCCTGGGGACTGGTAACTTTATATGAGGGCGTAGGGAAGCAGGGAGCCAGGAATAGTGGCGGTGAGGTCGCAACTTCAGGGACGGTTTTCTAGCATCCCGCGACGCGCTTTTCCGACAGCAAACCAGACAGAGTGGCATGTCAAGTCGATGCCCCCCGGGGGTATTCACGGGTGAGCATGCACCGGGCGGGGCCGGCTGCCGGCGTGGCCAGAACGTCGACATCCACGATTTCGGCTTGGACGGCACAGGGGCCTACGAGCACATGATTTATCAGGATCGGCAGCGGCCCTCCCTCCTTCGTCGGTCTTTTCTGCGCACTTTGGGCAACGGCCAGTGAGATCAGGGTGCTGGTTACTGCATTCTTCCCTGCCGCGTACGGCGGACACGAGCCGAGAGACGTTGGGTTAGGCAGAGTCACATTCATGGCCACTCGTTTTTCCCGCCCCTGAACAATTTGGAATCTCGACACGCCTCCAGGTGCAAAACAAATCACCCAGCTCCGGCTCGATTCCCCGATGTGATTCATTTGGGGGTGGTGTTGGCGCAGGTCCTGTTCGTGATGGTTTAGGTGGTCGTGGTGGCAGTGATGGTGGTGGCTGCTGCCGTGGCAGTGGTAGAGCCAGACTTCAGATGCTGTCGGTTCTCCGATGTAGCGGATTTCTGGTAGTGGGTATGGAAGATGTATTGCTCTCAGGCGTTGCCTTCTGCATGTCCATCAACTGTGGGTTTCCCCGCGCCACCTGAGCGTTGGACTCGGCTCGACATTACTGGGCTGACATCTCGGAGGTGTCCTTGCGTCTTTGGGCCATTTCTGTGCAGGGCTTTCCGTTGAGGGCCAAAGCAAGCAGCATTGCTTTTGTTTTGTCTGTGCGCATTGGCGCGTGCGCACCACGCACGCAGCTTTCGTAGAAGTGGGCTGGCGGCGGCGAGGGCGCCGCCATCGTTCCATACCGTCCACTCGGATTAGGGTGGCGGGCAATTTTGGCTCTTCTCAAGCATAGCCTCCAAAAATTGACAATTGTAGCACAGGGGTGCAGAAAGACGGTGAAGTGTCAGACAGCTGCTCATCTGCTCACGCTATTGAGAATCTCGTCGTGGTTCCTCAGATATGTTTTTAGTATCGTATTAGTCCTGTGCGATAACTTCCCATAGCGCATAGCTCGTATGCATTGCTACGTGAGGCCCACAGTGAAGTGTTCTAGCAGACTGCTGCGCTGTGCTGACCTTGTGAATGTGGTAAGACGTGCGTGTCCAGTACCCTGCAGAGCTCAGGTTCTTAAAATGGTAAGTAATGGGACTCAGCATGTCATCGGCGTTTGTTGAATGGTCGTCGTGCGAAAGCAGCGCCACGTCGAAGAGAGCATGCGTGAATACACCAGAGGAGTTGAGCAGCAGCAGGAAGAGCAGGATGCTGAGTAATTAGTTTATAAATGAGGAAGGAGAAAGACGACGAGGGGCGGGATGACGACGACTGCGAGGGCGACGACGACGAGGGGAAGGATCAGAACGAGGAAGAAGGGGATGGACAGGAGGGTGGAGATGAGATGCAGGAGAGGTTGGATGGATGCACTGGAAAGAGGAAGCGGTCCCGCCCTGCCAGTATCCTCCTGAACAGCGCTCTTATGACGGGGACGACGGCAACGTGTGGAACCTGACCAAGGCACCAGGGTGCCCACGGCTGGAGTGAGGGAGTCAGGTCAGCAGGTCGGAGATCATGATTGGGCAAGGCTGATGCCCTTCCTGCCCCTAACTCCTCCCACTCACCCTTCTAATCATCCCCCTCATGCTCCTCCTTGTTTTGTTTGTGCCATCCCACTCCCCTATCGCCCTCCACCCCATCATCTATACCCCTCCTCTTCATTCTGCTTCTCCGTCCCACTACTCCCATTGCCTTTGCAAGTTCCCCACACAGTGCCTGATCTTATGTAGGGTTTCTTGCTTCGCTTTCCTCAGGGAATTGAATGGGTGCTCCGAGGTTTCGGCTGGCGCCCGATTGGTGCCCTGTCGTGAGCGCCTGTGGGCGCCTCGTGGGCCCCCCCGCGTGGGGGGGGCCCCGCGCCGGGGGGGACTCCGAGGTGTCGGCTGGTGTCCGGCTGGTACCAGGTCAGGGGCGCCTCGTGTGTGCCACATAGTTTGCACCGCATATTTTGCACGACATGTCTTCTCCTTCTGGAAGAAGGAATAGACCCTACCAACCTCTGGAGCCCGGGCTTCACCGTTCACTTTTTTGGAATGCGATTTACATAGGAGTCTGCCTCATCGTTAGCTTGCCGCATGAGGTTACACCATCCCAGCAAAGCCGGTATCGCTTTGCCCCGGCGTCCAGGTCAAGTAATACTATGCGTGCGCACTCGTTTGTCTCAGAGATGCGTTTTACAATAGTCCATTGCACAACAAATAAAACCATGCGCGCGTACATGTGGAACTCGTGCCAAGCCTGCGAGTGGTGCATGGACTTCAAGATGCTACCCATTTATCTTTCGATTCATGTTGAAGAGTTGCTGCCCGCCCGCACGCGATGAAGTAATCGGTCAACCATTTGATTTTAGAAGTCTTGTCTAGAACCCGCATTCTTATATCACCGCACCGTACATCCACGTTGATCTGTCATGCGCCTACTGCACGAATTCGTGTCAAATACCAATATGCGGGCCACATGCGCGTGCCGTCACGCGCGCGTGTCGAAGTCATCCCAACTCCATTGGTGTTCGAAGCATGTCGAGATCGAGCCCTTGGACAACATATGAAACCCAAGTGTTTTTTCTATCCATCGCATCACCGCCGGTATTGTCATCGTCAATTGCCGCCATTGCCGCCATCATTATCATAAGCACCTTCATCATCGACCCCTGGACATTGTCATCGTCATCGTCGTCACCAGCGTTGGCGCCGTTATTGGCTTTGCCGTCGTCGTCATCATCGTTGCAGCCTTTGCCGACCTCCTCATGATGCCGCGCCTGCCCGGGCCACCTACCCGCACTGAAATGCCTGCGCGCCAGCGCGACCTTTGAGACGCGCTGGGGAGCACCATCGGTAAGCGAAATCGCCGCCGCATCCGCTGTGTCCAAACAGTTGGTCGCTCTGTGCGAGCGTGCGCGCGCCAGCGAGGAGTAGAGACATGCTAGCCAGCTCTAATCGGGAATCGCGATTGTGGCCGAGTGGAGTTTGGCAAACAAGGTGTGGGCCGAGGATGTATTTTTGCGCGAGCGTTGGGGTCGACGACTGCAACTGCTTCAATCAAGTTTTTCAAATTGGAATGCACCACGTAGTTTGCACCATCTAGCTTGTGCCACATATCTTACACATCATAGTTCATCTCACATGCATTGCGCCGCGAAGTTTGCACCACACAACCACCACGTAGCGTACGTCGCATTCGTTGCACCCTTAGCGGATACACCATCGTTGGCAGCTTGTGGTTCCCCCATACACATCGCACCGCTTCCACCACACAACGTGCACTACGTACGTTACATTAGCTTGCACCACGACGTAGCTTCATACACATCGCTTGCGCCACATCGAGTGCGCCACACACCTTACGTCACATGTCCAATCAGTGCTTGCACTGAAGGGGTCCCAGCGGAAGTTGAAAGATTTGGCGAAGGTTTCCCGCCGATTTCGGCAGCAGGCTGAGTTACCGGGTTTCCAGTTCCGGGTTCCCAGGTTCCCGGTTCCGGGTTTCCCGCCGATTTCGGTGGGCGGCGGGATTCCTGGGTTCCCGGGTTCTTGGTCGATTTTCTTTCGGCAACGCGCAGAGCGGGGTAGGGGGAGGGGGGAAGGCTTCTTAGAAGCACCCCTGCTTCTTAGAAGGCGCGGGCCTTCTTTATAGACGTAAGGCCGAGGCCTTCTAAGAAGCAGGGTGCTTCTAAGAAGCCTTCCCCCCTCCCCCTACCACCCTCTGCGCGCCGCCAATTCTTATCGATTGGTCTCACCATCGATCTCATGACCAACCTCGTTCGATCTCATTGTGGATCTCACAATCGATCTCACTATCGATTTCACAATCGATCTCACTATAGATCGCACCAGCGATCTCACTATCGATCTCATTGAATCGACTTCACCACCGGTCTCACGATCGACCTTATAATCGTCCTCATTGTCAATTCCACTATCGATATCACAATCGATCTCAACATCCATATCACTAATTTTCAAACCATCCTCTGATTGGGGTTATCCCTGGCTTATTGTTTTCACTACATGATGCACCTCTCTTGCATCATATGTTGCACCAGCTGACCCTTTGGGGTCTACGCTGGCAATCATTGCCATATTGGTTCCCAAACGCTCGCCCTGCTGACCAGATCCACTCTAACCAGCGTTGTCTGGTTGCCTGTTGGTTGCACTGTGTGCGATGCTTGTTGACGGGCTAGCTTCGTTCCGTTACGCAAGCGTTGACGTAGTTAAACAATTAAGCAGCGGTTGTTTGGTTACTCTTCCGCACATCTCTCGTTCGAGGTTGCGAGCGTTGAGCATCCGTTCCCCTCTGTTCTTCCTTCAATGTTCCACGCCTCCACAGCTCTTCCATTCTGCTTCTCTTCCTTCCAGACGAGCAAACTATAGCGAAGATCTTGAGGATTGCCCTCCTCCCTACCGAACGTGGTGGTAATTAGTAGGGCAGCTTTGCGGATGATGCAGGGGCGGCGGCGGGCTACGGAGGTGCGCTCGAAGGTGGCAACGGTAGCGTGGGAGGGGTGAGGTAAAGGATCGCCGAGTGGTGATATGGAGAGGGCACGGGCCAAACACATCCACGGTTGCCATCGTGGGCCCCAAATTGTAGGTCCTTGTGTTCTCGATGCGTAATTCGCGTGATGCAGTATAAAGCCAAGACGTTGAATTCGGAATTGCCTCGTTGTTCATCAGGTCTCTCCAGGGCTGTTTTTTTTGGAGCTCCTCTTGCACCCAGGCGCTTTGGGGGCCCAAAAGGGGCTTCGTTCCTTATTGTAGTGGCCTCCGGCCAGTGCCACCGATCAGGGGCGCTCCTCCGGATTCGCGTCAAAACGGACGACGACGACGACGACGCTTTTCCTTTTTCTCCTCCTTGTTCTTCTCCTCCTTCCTCCCTCCTTGAAGGAATAATGGATGCTTCTGGGGTCTTCTTTGGGGCTTCATGGGCTCATGGGGACCGTCAAACATCGATCCCGGGATGAAACCTGTACCAGATGGACCCGGGAGGGGTCCGCGGACAGCAAAAGCCAGACAATGCCAGCATGAAAAAAAGAAGGAGTCGCCACTGGAGCCATAGGTGGAGCTCCCTATGGGGCCACGAACCGTCTGAGGGGTGTTCCAAAATGTGTGGTGGGGGCGCACGGGAACGTCGCCACTGGGGCCTTCGGTGGAGCTCGCTATGGGGTCACGAAACGTGTGAAGGGAATGCCAAAATTGGGGGTGATGACGGCAATGATGTTGATGATGGTGATGGGAGGAGGGAGAAGGAGGAGGAAGGAGGCGCGAGAACGCGGGGCGCCGTCTTTGTCAAAACCAGGACCCAACACCACAGGATGGTTGGGAAACACAACACCACCCATCGAGCACTACTGCAAGCGCAGAAATTCGCAACAACCAAGGCACCATAAGGCTCTCGGCACAGAGCACCACCCATGTGGCAACAATGGAATGACGAGACACCGCAACCATCATGGCACCAAATTGCACCAGCTGTAGGACACCATAGGGCGCCAGCTACACGTCACCGGCTGTAGGACACCAGCGCAATTACAGCATTTTGCAGCACATGAGAGCCCATACAGTCAGGTCGCATAGTGAGGACGAGCATTTGTCCAAGGTTACCCTTGCATCCTTCCCCCTTCGGCCCGTCATTGGCGACTTTCGCTGGCCACCACCGTTTGAAAACGCCAACATCGCCCTCCAAGGCCCTTGCACCCTTACCGCGCATCCTTAGTATACGACTTCGTTGTAGCGCGTTCCAACTGGTGCACAGCTCATAGGACACCCGGCTAGGACGACCGTTCGAAACACATGAGGCATCACATCGCGTAGTTCGTAGTGGACCACCCATGGGGCAGCAGGTCGATCACGAAATATTGGGAGTACTGGGGCATTCATGTAGCATCATCCCCAGGGCACCACACCACCTGTAGGAGACGAAGTCACGAAGGAGCAACCCCGCCTCTTAAGACACCATAGGGTACCCGCCAAAGAGCACCACCCACTGGACACCAATGCAGTAACAACAAATTGCAGCAGTCCATACGCCTTATACATAAGAGCACCACCTGTGGGGGCACCAAACCAATAGCAATCATTCACCACAATTGAAGCACACGTGTGCGTTCGCCATATAGCACCATCCACAGTACATTCCGACCAGAAGGGAAATTCACAACGGGTAGTGATCATTCGCAGGCAGCTATGCGTAATTTTGGCCTATGCTGCGACACGATTTCAACGAGACGACGCAGCCAGCGAGGCCTCCTAGGACATCGTCCACATAGCACCACCCATCGGCCACAAGGGCAAGGCCGATCGTTCTCAACCGTTCTGGCAACAGATGGCACTGGTCATGCAATTAGTCTGGCGGAGGACCCAACCATTTGCAGATGTGAGTACCGCAATTGTGGATCTCGTCTTCAGTGGCGCTCCCTATGGGGCCACGAACCGTGTGGGGGGCGTGCCGAAAATGCGTGGCGCGTCGTCACTGGAGCCTTCGGTGGAGCTCCCTATGGGGCCCGTGTGAGGGGTGTGTCAACATGGGTGGCGGGGACGCATGGGAACGCCGCCACTTAGGCCTTAGATGGAGCTCCATTTTGGGCCACGAACCGTGTGAGGGGTGTGTCAAAATGAGTGGTGGGGACGCGTGGGAACGTCGCCACTGGGGCCTTAAGTGGAGCTCCCTATGGGGCCACGAAACGTGTGAGGGGGGTGCCAAAATGTGTGGTGGGGACGCATGGGAACGTCGCCTTTGGAGCCTTCGGTGGAGCTCCCTACGGGGCCACGAACTGTGTGAGTGGCGTGCCGAGAATGCATGGCGGGGACGCATGGGGACGTCGCCACTGCGGGGACGCGTGGGAAGTTCGCCACTGGGGCTTCGGGTGGAGCGCCCTGTGGGGCCACGAACCGTGTGAGGGGTGTACCAAAATGGGCGGCGGGGACGAATGGGAACGTGGCCACTGAGGCCTTCGGTGGAGCTCCCTATGGGGCCAGGAACCGTGTGAGGGATATGCCGGAGATGGGCGGCGGGGACCCATGGGAAAGTCGCCACTGGGGCCTTATGTGGAGCTCCCTATGGGGCCAGGAACCGTGTGATGGGGGTGCCAAAATGGGCGGCGGGGACGCATGGGGACGTCGCCATTGGGGCCTTCGGTGGAGCTCCCTATGGGGCGCAGAAGCTCGCAACAACCAAAGCATCATAGGGCTCTCGGCACAGAGCCCCACCAATGTGAACCATCAAGGTATCACATTGCATCAACCATGAGACACCCCTTTTAGGGAACAAATGCGACAAGGAGGCAGTCATATAGCACCACCTTTCAGGAACAAGGCGTTTCGTGATTCCAGCCACAGAGCGCCTTCCATACAGCACCAGAGAAAAACACATGAGACGACGTAACCAGTGAGGCATCATGGGGCATCTGCCACAGAGCACTACTCGTAGTACACCAGATCATCGCAGCCACTCAGGCACCGTTGGGCGTTAACCACAGGATCACCACCAGTTGGGCACCAAGCCGGTACCGATCAATCGTGGCTGCTAAATCATCGTAGTGCGCCAGCCATAGAGCACACAACAATGAGACGTCGCAACCCACATCGTTGTATAACGCATCCGCCACAGAGCAATGCCCAGCTGCGCAAAGACGCCATCATGAAGACATCAGGGGTCTCATCCGCCAGGGCGCACCACTCACAGGCCTCCAGGCCAAGGACGATCGTTTCAGCTGTTTTGGGATCATGTCCCAGTGGTTACAGAACACCGCACATGTCGGCGGCGAGCGAGGGGGGGAAGTGAGAAGGAGACGGCCTTCTGAGAATTGCCCTAAGCCTTCCCCGAAGACACACAGCACATCTCAGACGGCGCGAGGGCTTTTGAGAAGTCCCGCCGCCTTCTGAGAAGGCCTTCTCCTTCTCACTTCCTCCCTCGCTCGCCGCCGAACATGATGTGGAGCAACGTGGCATTGACCCTACCTCGGAACCGATCAGGTATGATTGTAGCGGCCTCCGGCCAGTGCCGCCGATCTGGGGCGTTCCGGATGATGATGATGATGATGATGATGATGATGACGACGACGATGATGATGATGATGATGATGATGATGATGGTGGTGGTGGTGGTGGTGGTGGTGGTGGTGGTGGTGGTAGTGGTGGTGATGATGATGATGATGATGATGTTGATGATGATGATGATGGTGATGGTGATGGTGATGGTGATGGTTATGATGATGATGCTGATGCTGCTGATGATGATGAAGTGATGGTGATGATGATGGTGATGATGATGATGCTGCTGATGATGATGAAGTGATGATGATGACGATGTTGCTGATGATGATGCTGCTGCTGCTGATGATGATGATGATGCTGATGATGCTGATGATGATGATGATGGTGATGTGACGATGGTGATGGTGATGGTGATGGAGATGGTGATGATCCCGCCTCCCCCCTCCCTCCTCTCTCCTGTCCCCCCCCTCTCTCCTGTCCGTTCCCCCTCTCTCCTGTTCCCCCCCTTTCTCCTGCCCCCCCCCCACCCTCTCTCCTGTCCACCCCCACGTCTCCCCCCCCGTCTCTCTTGTCTCCCCCCCCTCTCTCCTGTCCCCCCCCTCTCCCCTCCCTCTCCTGTCCTGTCCCCCCCCCTCCCCTTGCAGAGCGCCCATCTGCAAAGCGGACCCTCCCGCCTTTCCCTGCAGCTCCCGCTCCGCCTGAGAGCCCCCCCCCCCGCTTTGCAGCCCCCCCCCTTGCAGAGCGCCCCCCCCTCCCTCTCCTGCCCTCACCCTTGCAGAGCAAAACTCCGGGGGGGGGGGGGGGCGAGCACTGAATTCGACAGTTAATGAGGTCCCCCCCCCTCCCCCCTCCCAAGCAGAGCTAAAGCTCATGCTGAAGCAGAGCTTCAGCTCAGATTTCTTAAACTCACACGCTGGATCGGCGGATTGTTGCGCCAGCCATCGGGCGCCACCCATACGGCACCAGGGCAAGAACAACCATCGCAGCCATTAAGGCTCCTTGGCGATCCATCCACAGAGCGCCCATCCAGATCCGATACTGCAGCGAGAACTTGCAACCACAAACACATCGTACGGCAGCCGCGGTTGTGCACCACACATAGATCATCATGGCTACACCGATAAGACGTCACTACATACGCGCCACAGAGTGCTAGCCACTAGGCATGCCGCCCTACCCATGGACCATCACGACAATAACGAGAAACTTGAACCACTGATGGCAACATGGGGCACCCGCCAGCCAGAGCACCACGCGCCAGGGATAAAGTTACAACTTGCAATACCTTGGTCAATTAATAGGTCTCGAAGGACTGAACGATACCGTGCAACCATGAAGACTCGAAACCAATGGACAAAGAACTTACAAGGCGGCAGACGTATTTTCACATCGCACATAGGGCACCAGGACAAGACCGAGAATTCGCGACCATCGTGTTTAGGAGCCCCTTGGTAGGGCCGTGCCCGAGATAAACAGGAGGACCATGGCTGGTTTAGACCCCGCAGCATACGGTACAAGCCAAGGAACACCTCCCATGGCACCGAGGCCATAACGAGTAGTCGCACACATTTGGGCATCATTGGGTGCCCAGCGACAGAGCACCGCCCATAGAGCACCACGGCAAGAGAGATACATCCCAATCGTTGCAGTCTCATGCGGCACCAACCACAGAGCACCGCCCATAGGGTTCAGACAACATCGTGTGCGAGTCATAGAGCAGCAGCATCGGGCACCAAGGCAACAGCGAGAGCTCCCAAACCAGTCATGCATCATAATGCGCTGGCCTTCGCTCACAGGGTATCGGGGCAAGATCGATTGATCACAACCTTCGAGGTACCATCGAGTGCCAGCCATAGGGCCCCGTAGGCCTCCAAGGGAAGATCGGTAAATCGCAATCATCCGTACTTGATAAGGCACCAGCTGTAGAGCATCACCCAAAGTGCACTAGGGCAGCATCGAGAATTCGCAGCCACCGATGCACCATGCAGGGGCAACCACGGAGCTTTACTCGCAGGCACCTGTGCAAAAACAAGATCTCGCGACGGATCTCTCCACTCCTTTCCAGGCCACAAGAGAGCACATCAGCGCAATGACTATTGCTTGTGGGAAAAGCTCACTGCACGGGTCTCGATTCCTCCCCTTCCTCGTCAGGGGGGAGGGGGGGCGAACGTGGGAGGGGATCAGTGCAGGGACAGGGCTGGACGGGCCGGCACGCACGACGTCACGCGGGCGCCACGCCGCAGGGTGCCATCATGACTTGCGACCGCATGCTGACCGTGTCGCCCGGCTACGCCAACGAGATGAAGACGCCCGCGGCCGGTTGGCACCTCGCTGCGACCTCTATCGGTTCACCCCCACCCATCCCTTCCGGCACGCCGTGGATTTGGCCGTGTCAAGGGGCGGAAGAGGTATCCACACCCAACGCTTCGAGAGAGCCTCGGGGGGCACGTCTCCAACCCCTGGGAAGTGGATAAAGATCCCCTGCGTGGTCGCCCGCGCGCGCGCGCTGCCCTCGTGAGCCACTTTTCTGCGCCGCCGCCCACCTCTCCCTCCTGGACATCTCAACTGCACCCACCAGCCAGATCCTCCATCGATCCTCTTTCACCGATCCCACGTGACGGGCGAGCGGGGGATGGGGGAGGGAGGAGGGGAGTTGGATCGGCGGAAGGGGTAGTACAGGCGTCCGAGGTCGTTCAGGAGGCAGGAAAGGATGGAGGAGACGGGTGCGTAGGAGGAGGGCGTAGAAGGAGGACGGGTATAGGTCACGGGTTGGCGCGTGTCAGGGTTGCCAGCTCGGTGCGGAGAGAGTGGGGTGGTTAGTGTGTGCGGCGCCCCGTCTCCATCTTCTGCCACGCCCTTCCACCCCTTCGGAAGGGGTGGAAGGGCGTGGGTCATCTATCGTGTGGGCACGGGCGCACCCTTCGTGTGGGCACGGGCGCCCGCCATGAGAGAGGGGGCGTGAGCCAGTGAGGTGGCCCGGAATGCCATCTCGCCGTCCTGGAGGCAGTTCGTATGTGCCGCCTTGTTCGATCCCGCTCTCTGTCCTCTTTCTCACTTTCATCGTCTCCCGTGCAGCTGAGACGCAGGGGAGACATCTTCCTCTTCATCTACCTTCTTCTCGTCGTCGCCTTCCTGTATTCGCTGTTTTTCGCGCAGCCGAGACACCGAGGGCGGGGAGGGGGCAACGCTTTTTCGCAGCAGAGTGGCTTCCGCGATCCCGCCCAACATTCCCCAGCCCACCCCGGGCTCGGCCCCACAGTTTCGCGCAGTGCGCGTGTGATCTCTCCCAAAATTGCCAATTCGCTCCTGGGCCTTGAGGCGCTCCTCTTCTCGCGCGGCGCCCTCCCGAGCCAAGAGAGCGAGGGCGGGGTGCGAGCGCGCGTGCGCTCGCGGGGGAGAGGGGGGTGGCTCCTGACGGAGACCAGCACGCCAGGACCTCTGGTTTCAGGCACCCCGCCCGTCACCGCCTCCGTCCACCTCTTACTTCAGGAGGGGGAACAAGCACACAGACACAATTAATCGTTGCTTCCCAGGAGAATATGGGAAAACATGGGAAGTGGGGGGGAGACGGAAACCCAGAAAATATGGAAACATAGGGGTGTGTGCCCCAGGGCCCTTTCATCATTGTTCTTCGGCTCTGGCACCTCATCGAGCGATGTATGATGAAGCCAATGGTACGCGGGAAGTCATCCATGTTCCACCCTCGCGGGTTCGGATGGGCCAGGGGGGCAGATCATGGCCTTCTTCGGCCAACAAAGAAAAACCTCTCTGTCAACCTCGGCCTGTGTGGTATTTCCAGTTTGCCGAGCGACGTTTCGAATCACAATGTGGTTGAGTCACGAGTTATGTTTAGCGATGAAAGAACATCTCTCAGTCCACCTTCTCGTCCTTCTCCTCCTGCTCCTCCTCCTGGCACTTCGGCGCTGTTGCAGCCCACCAGGGGCGGCGGCCGCCCAGGATCCCCGAGGGCGGCTTCCGCTTGGAGGAGCTCGTGAGACAGAAGGACGCGCGGCTGGCCCCCCGGGGCGGTCGGGCTGTCTTCTTGGGATCGGGCGGGTGGTAGTGGGGAGTGGCCCAAATTGGGGGTGACGAAAAGGGCCCTACAGGGGTCCTCTAGGGCCCCTTTTGGGCTCCTGCTGGCTCCTGTGTCCCAAATGGCACCGTTAGGGCCCTGTTCTCGAGCCCCCATTTAGGCCACCCCCCATTACCACCCGTCCGATGGGAGGGGGTGCTTTCAATAGAACAGTGATGAACCCCTCCCCTAGGGGGAAGAAGGGAGGTTGGAAGAGGAAGCGCTCTAAACCACTCGCGCCCTAAATCGGCGCCGGGCTTCTCTGGCGGCGCCTCTGGCGCCGCCCCTGGAGCGCTCCGCGCGCCAGAAGGAGGTCTGCGCGCGCTTTCTCTTCTTACAGTCAAGACGCTGATATGAGGATAACTTGTGGCCCATCGGAGGCTTTTGTTTATCGGGCCGCTCCTTGGGTCCAGGTCGTGGAGACTTTTTGTGGCCGAGGCTCGCTGTGGCCAGAGAAGCCCCTCCGTTCTTTGTCCTGCGTGCCTTATGGCAGCCCGATTGCGGTATTCCATTCCAGTCGGCCCAGATTAGTAGGTCGACCCTGCCAAGTCAAGGGTACCCTTGTGTCCTGAGCTTCGCGACCCATGCTTTCTTACATTTCTATGGCAATGTGGCCCTCGGAAGGGTCTTGTGTCCTCTCGCGGGTCCTGTCCAATCAAGTCCGACTGTATGGCAGCCCGAGTGTTGTATTCCATTATAGGCCTGTGACCTCGGCTGCAAAAGCTGAAGGGTCGGTTCAGCCTCGGCAGAGACCGCGCGCATCATTGCAGCCTCTGCGATTGCGTACGGTCTGCACGCGGAGCGAGCGCGCTCAGATTCTAGCCGCGTTCGTGCTCTGGGTAAGGGACGATGGAGGAGGAGAAGAGTCAGAACGGAGGTGGGATGAGATCGGCGGGAGGAGCTGAAAGCCTCCCTCCTCGTTCCCGTTGGCGGGGGCCTCCGGGTTTGCACGTCCCCCTGGGTCCGCCGGGACCTCAGCCTCAGCAGGGCTCGACCCAGACGGTGTTTTGGCGATTTCGTGGATTCGTTTCGTTTGGATGTCGTTTTGCAGCAAGGGCAGAACGAACACAAAACGCGGGACAACTAAGACATAATGAAACCGTCAACCATTGTTTCAGGTCGATCCCAGAGCCTCGAGAGGCGTCGCGCAGGCTGCCATGGTGTACAGTTGAGAACGGAGATGCCCAGATGCCGATGCCTGCGCCTCGCAGCGTGAGGCCCCCCCCTGCGAGGGGGGGCCGGTTGATCGTCAGGAGATGTTGCGCGGTACCTGCCCTGGGAGCGGCTTCGCCGCCGGCGCGCGTTACGCCGAGGGGGCGTCAAGCAGTGGCGAAGCGTCCCGGCTTGCCTATAGGCCCACCAGAGAATCTTCGAAGATCTTTTTGTGGGTTGCACGACATGTTCTTAGAACACTTCTGGTCGATACTGTTTTGTTTTCACGCACCGTGTTACGTTCTGAGAACATTGGTTTGGTTATTATCGCATTTTTGGGTTCTAAGAGCATGCCGTGGTAGGCCTATAGGATTGCCGGGGCGGTCGGTCCCTGCTCTGCCCAGGGAGCGGCTTCGCCGCCGGCGCGCGTTACGCCGTGGGGGCGGCCCTGATGGCTTGGAGCCGTCGGGGGGCCTGCGGTGGCCCAGCGGTGGTGTGCGCCAGCAGCGGGGGCGGGCGCGCTCGAGGCGCTGGGTTCGGGAAGGTGCTCTGTCTTCAGAGGAGGAAAAGGTACCCATACCTCTACCCCCTCGCCCGTTTTCCCCTTTTTGGGCCTCCTGGGAGGCCCTTGTCGCCACCGCTGGATTCGCTTCTAAATTCTTGTCAGAACGCACCCCGGGAGAGGTCCGGGGAGTAGCGGTATCGGTACCTTGTGCTGTCCCCATGTCTTCTCCGGCCGCCCGGGGGCCGCTCGGGCCCCAGGACCGTCAAGGACGGGTCAAGGACGGGTCCGGGGTGAAAGGCTGCACCAGAGGGACCCTGGGAGGTGTCCGGGGACCGATTTTCTGCGGAGTTGGCTTCGTCTCCCTCCTGGCCGACTCTTGTCGGGGGAGCGTAAGACCCGGGTTTGCCGGGACTCGGGTTCGCCATCGTTTTTTGACGACCGCGACTCGGATTTTGACGAGGAGGAGTTTCGTGGGATGTCTGCAGCGGGAGGCCTCGTCAAAATGCAGGCTCGGCCTCGTCATTTTTTTGACGACCTCGTCGGGGATTTCCGAGTCCCCCGTACCCGGGTCTTACGTCTCCCCGATCTTGGGGGTCCCAGTCAGATCCTTGGCCGCCTCCAAAGCTTCGCCGCCAATGCGGGCGTTGTCCGCGAGGCGGCTCTGATGGCTGCTCTGCAGGTGTGCTTGTGCGTTCAGGTGCGCTGACCCGCGACGCCGTGGATCGCACGCCTGGGGTACTGACCAATGTGACTCGAAGAAGACAACGCCCCAAACATTAACTTTTGGCGCTCCGCGCGGACTTATTCGATCCGAGTTGGACCCCCCTGGCGGCGCCTCTGGCGCTGCCCCTGGCGCGCTCCGCGCGCCACTTAGGGGTGCCAGCGCAGATCCAATAAGTCCGCGCGGAGCGCCTAAAGTTATGTTTATGTCGTTATTCTCTTCTTCTAGTGACAGGGTATCCCCGAGCTCTTGCTCGACAGCTCCTCCAGTTTTGATGTTCGGTGCGGCACTCCGTCAGCGGTATGCCACCCCATGGCTGTCCAGTCAAACGCGCGCCCTCGGCCCCCGACGCTGGTGCCTTTAGATGACCGCGAGAGGTGCGCCCGCTCCATACCCTCTGTTTTCACCTATCGTCGGACGGTGCGCCTTGGTCGCGATACTCCCTCCTCTGTTGAGCAGAGGATCATTCGATGCTCACCGTACACGGTTGCCGCCCGTTCAAGACAGATCGGCGCCATTGTTCTCACAGTTTGATGCCATCAACAATTACGCACACCGTCCACCTGGCACGTCTGCAGCCATACACAACAGCCTCATTGGTGCATTAGCATCCGCAGGCCACCATCACCAGGCACCCATATGCTCTTTGCATGATGGAATGCCATAACTAATGGGTGGCATCACAACTATAACACGGAGTTGATATTCGACTCTGCTGATTGTCCACGCCGTATTCAACATGCTTTATTCTAGGCGCTGCGCGTAACCCCACCAGCCTTCAGGCCGCCGCTTGCTCGTTGCGCTCTTGACGCCGCCCGGCTTCTCTCGACGCGGTTGCGAACAACAAAAACCCACCAGCCCATCCAGAAACGATGCCCATGCGAGTTGCTTTGATCAGGGATGTGGAGGAGCATGTAGTAGAAGAAAGGACTGGGGACGCCACCGCGCACCAAGAGGGGGAGGATCGAGGAGGAATCGGAGGAGGAGGGGGAGGGGGAGGGGGAGGAGGGAGGGGACGAGGGGGAACAGGCGGATGAGGAAGAGGAAGAGGATCAGGAGGAGGAGGAGGAGCAGGAGGAGGAAGAGGAGGAGGAAGAGGAGGAGCAGCAGAAAGCCAGATGCCTCTCTGGGATGTCTCTCGGAGCCTCTTCGGATGTCTCTTGAGATTCTTTGGGGGTCTATTGGGGCGTGTTGGGGGCATCTTGGCGGTTCCAGGGGCCTCGTGGAGCGTCTTGGGTGCCTCGGGAGAGCCTCTTGGGGGTCCTTTGGGAGCCTCTTGGTGACCTCTTGGGGCCCTTCTTCCTCCGGGGTGGTTGGGTGGTCTTCGGGCTGAGGCTCAGGCAGGGCGCCGGCCGGCAGCGCTGCACTGCCACGGCGGCCTCTGAGCAGGTTGACCAAGCGTGCCCCGGGCAACGCCTGGGGAGCATGCGGCAAGGCCAAAGGACGCCTACCGCATTTCATTCAGTGGGCCTCTTGGGGTCTCCTGGGCGCCTCTTGGGGCCCTCTTTGGGACGTCTTGGGGCACCATTTGGGAGCCTTGGGGGGCATCTGGGAGGCGATCGATCAAACAAGGGGGTACTAAAGTAGCCCCAACCCCCAGGAGGCCAACAAGTTCTCAACACATTTTTGTAAAATCGATGACGTTGGCCGTCTTGCCGAGGCCATCTTGACACTCCCATCGGTCGCGCCCCCTCCGTCCAGGTCCAGGGGGAGGTGGTAAGGGGGAGGGGTAAACCCCTTCCCCAAGGGGAAGAAGGGGGGGTGGAAGAGGAAACGTTCTGAACCATTCACGCCCTAACGCGCTGGTGGGATGGTGTGGGGGATGAGGGAAGGAGGTTATGATGGCCATCGTATTATCCTGGCACTGCCTTGCTCTTTCTCCGAAACAGACGCACACTGAGTAGTCTGGGCGGCAAGCGGATTCATGTTGGTACGCTTGCCATTGCAGCGCGCCCCTTCCTCTGTGCCGCCTACCGCCGCCAGGAGTTCTTCATGGTGGGCATATTGAACGGTCCGACAGTCCGACTGTTGGTGTGGGCGAAAGTCATGGACATGTTTTGGAGAGAGGTGCAGTCATCATTATGTGTTGCCTGATCAATGGCGTTGCTCTTGTCCAATCTTGCTAGGTCCAACGCAGCTGTTCGTGTTCGTTTTTTGTTACTCTCACATCCCATGACGGCCGCAGGCATTGACGTGGCGGCGTGGAACCCCCGCACCGACAAGCTCCTTGCCTGTCCCTCCGCCGGGATGACGTTCAAAGTAGAAATGGAGAGGGGATCAAGTGAACGGCAACGGGGGGCTATTCCACGTGGGACTCGGATAACGCACCTTCAAGCAATTCGAGACACTGGATGGCAGTTCTGGGCAATCTTCGTGCCAATGTGGGGACCCGTTGTTTGCCCTCTCCCCCTTTTCCAATCCCCCCCCCGTCAAAAGTAGCGTCTGCCCAAGCGGAGAAGGTCTTGGACGTGAGCTGAGGTACACACAAGAGGAAAAACTATCTGATGCAGCCCTGATTTATTGCGAAGGCCTTGCGGCCGATGCCGCCGACCCTGAAGGGGGACGATGAACGACGACGCCGACGACGACGACGACGGCGACGGCGACGACGATCGCGAGTCCTTGTTGGGGCCTTCCAGGGCCCTCTTGGGCTGTCCTGGGGGGCCTTAGGGCCGTCTTGGGGCCTTCCCGGGCCATCCTGGCGTGTTTTTGGGCCGTTCTGGGGAGTTCTCGGAGGCAGCTGGGGCCGACATGGAGTGTATGAAGCCTGGAAGTCGAGCAGGCGAAAAAACATGGGCGATTTCGGGACCTCCTGGTAGCCTCTTGGAATGGGGAGCTTGAAATGTGGGTTGGTTTTCCCCTCTTCGGCCTCTCTTGGGGTGTTCCTGGGGCTCTCTTCGGCGTTCTCGGTCGGAGAAGTGGGAGGGGTGGGGGGGTTCACGATTCGCAGGACGCTTCTAGGGACCCCGCGGGATCTTCTCCTCTCACCCTCCCCCGGGACCTCCCCTCTCTCGTGGGGAAGGGATTACAGGAACGGGGTCCCCTTCGAGTCGATGACGCTGTTGTTCGATTCTCCTCTGGCTGGAGCGTTTGAGGAGGTGGGCCGAGGGAAGAGGGGGGGTGCTTCTGGGAGGCTCATGCAGGTTTCAGGGTGGTGCGGGGGAAAAAAACGACGAAGAGCGAGGGGGAAACAGAGAAGGAGGAGGATGAGGAGGAGGAGGCAGAGGAGGAAGAGGAGGAGGATCGAGGTTCAGGGTTCGAGTCGATGTTTCATTTTTCATGGTCTTTTTTTGGGGGCTCTCTGGAAGCCTCCGAGGATTTCTGGGGACGTCCTGAAGGCGTCTTGGGCCGTCTTGGGGCCCTCTTGGGCCGTTAGGGGACGCTTTGGGGCGCCTCTTGGGGTGTCTCGGGGCGATATTGGGGGCCTCCTGGGCCGTCTTGGCGCGTTGGCAAACGTCAGAGGCAAGAGCGCTAGAATCCTGCAAAAACGTATGGGAAATCTGCGATGTTTGCCTCTTGGGGCTCTCGTGGGAAAGCTCCTGGATGCCTCTTGGGGCGTCTTGCAGGCCTCTTGGGCCGTCTGGAAGCCGTGAAGGCGTCTTGGACAGATCGTCAGGCGAGTCGGGGTTCTCGTGGACTGTCTGTGGGGCATATTAGACCACACTTGGCCCTTTTTGGAACTCTTTTTGGAGCTCTGGGAATCCCCGGAGAGCGTCGTATTTGACCCCCCCCCCCAGGACCCCCCTCCCCCTACCCCCCCCCCCGGCAGGGGAGGGATCGAAGGGAAGGGGCTTCCCTTCGACTCCATTACGGCGTTCCTCAACGCCTGGGAAAGGAGAGGAAGAGGACGACAGCCACGACGACAAACGAATGACGGGCTGAGGCGGTCCCTGGAAAAAGGGGGGAATAGGACGACAGAGACGACGACAAACGAATGAAGGAGATGACGACTCGAACGGACGAAGCCCCTCACACACGCCGACAGGGTCGGCGGGGTTCTATATGCCACTGGCGAGGGCGAGAGGGAGATAAGGAGGTGAGGGAGGCGTCTGTTTGTTTGTGGTGGTCAAAGGTTCAACGGATCAAAGGCTCGTACACTCCTGGCAACTTTGAAATCAAAGGACATCTAATGCAGCCCTGACTTATTTCTATATGCCACCAGCCAGGGTGAGAGGGAGAGAAGAATGTGGGGGAGGCGTCTGTTTGTTTGTGGTGGTCAAAGGTTCAACGGATCAAAGGCTCGTACACTCCTCGCAACTTTGAAATCAAAGGACATCAGGTATGAGGCTTCTCGTTTCACATTGCGACGGTGTTAAAGCATACATAAAGATGCAAAGTGTGTCTCCCCCTGGAGCATCACCATTTGAGTCAATTCTTGACGCAGTCTCTTACTCGCCGCTGGCGCCTCCGCCTGCGGTTGCGACAAAAAGTATCCCCACCAGCCGCGCCATTTTGGCTGCGTTCCAACCTCGGTTGGCTAATTATGCATGCGCTCGCTCCTGGACCTGGTTCCTGGCAGCTGCATCCCGCACCATCTCGCGCAGTCCGGTCAGCTTTGGTGCTGCTTTGGCCGCTGGTGTGTCGGCGCGTTAGGCAATTAGGTTCGCGCGTAGCCCGCCCGATTCTTGATGCTGCTGGCGCGCTCGCGTGCGGCCGCGGCGGAACACAAATATTCCCATCAGCTTTTAGCTGCGCTTACATGCTGGTCGCCACCGGGATTTCCAACGCCACCGGGTTTGGGAGTATCGTTTCTGGCTCTCCTTCTGAGTGGCTGCCCGCTCGCTCGCTTCGCTTGCCTTTCTGTTCCTGCTGCCTAGTCGCGGCCCGATTAGTGTTCAGACGGCTTTCGACCCGCCTCTCGAGCCTGTTGACCAACAAGTATCCCGACCAGCTCAAATTTGCGCCGACGCGATGTTTCGACATTTGTGTCGCCTGTTTCACGGATGTCGTCTGGGTGTGCCTGTCGGTCTAGTTCGTCTTTGACGGTGCTGTTTGCCTGATTCACACCGAGCGATCGACCTCTGCGTGTTTTTGGTCGCGCCGCCGCGCCATTTTGGCTGCGCTTACTTGCTGGTCGCCACTGGGATTTTCTACGCCACCGGGTTTGGGAGTATCGGTTCTGGCTCTCATTCTGGGTGGCTGCCCGCTCGCTCGCTTCGCTTTGCGTCGCGGCCCGACTCGTGTTCGGACGGTTTTCGACCCGCCTCGCGAGCATGTTGACCAACAAAGTATCCCCACCAGCACATCCAGAAACGATGCTCAGGCGAGTTGCCTCTCAGAGTCTCCTGGGATGTCTCTTGGGAGCTTCTTTGAGGTCTCTTGAAGCGTACGGGGAGAATCTTGGTGGACCCAGGGCCGTCTCTGAGCGTCTTGGGTGCTTCGGGGATCCGCTTGAGGCCCCTTGAGGGTTCCTTTTGGGAGCCTCTTGGAGGCTTCTTGGGGCCGTCTGGGCGCCTCCTGGGGCCTTTTTGGGGCGCTCTTGGTGACTTTTGGGGCGCTTTTGGGGCCATCTTCGAGAACATCGATCAACCAAGTGGGGAGCTCCAGTTCCCCCCCCCACCCTCGGGAGCCCCAAGGATTTTCTCGTAGGCTGTTCTCTGGGCACCCTTTGAGCGCTCTTGGGCGCTTTGGGGCCGTCTTGGGCCTCTCTTGGGCCTCTCTTGGGGCCTTCTTGGACCATTTTGGAACCATCTTGAGGCTTCGGAAGGCTATCGGCAGCGAGCGGGCGACGATGCACAAGTTATTAATTTCCCCAGGTGTTTGAAGGATGCCGGCTTTTTGGTTGCCTCCCTGGGGGGGTCGGAGGAGAGGTCAATACACCCTCTTAGATAGCAAACCGTCCAACTCACTCCCACCCGCCCTCCCAGCACAGAAGTAACACCTGAGCCTGAGCATGTTCAGTGGTCGTCTTTGGATGGGCAGCCACTGGGAGCCAACACCGACCCCATGTGCGCGACGCCGGGGCGAGGTGCGCCACGCGTGCCAGGCGCGCCACGTGCGCCAGGGTTCCCTGGGGCCTGGTACGCCCGATGCGCCACGTGCTCCGCGTGCGCCAGGTGTGCCGCACAGTCGAGCCGCGCCATGTGCGCCACGTTCGGGGCAAGTACAGAATGTGTAAGGTGCGCCTGCGCACGTGACAGGACACATCGGGAAACATGTCGGCCCCCGCCGTCCTTGTCGAAAACTAATGCCCATCATTGTGTCTTGTGGGTCTGCGCACAGCAGGCCATACGCCACCACGCCCGCCGTCCCTGTCAAAACCACTTTACAGTGATCGCGGGGCGGCCGCGCATGATCCAGATTTAGCCGCGCGGTGCATCTCCTCCTGTTTTTTGTCAGGGATGGTAGCCGTGCGTGCAGCAGGCAATCTGACACCCCCGCCGTCCCTGTCAAAAACAATGCAAAGCTCTCGCGGACCTTACGAACATGACTCAACACTTTGCTCCAAAGTGGACTTTGTAGTTTGCTTGGACCTGGGGGGTGGGGGGGGCGCATCGGATTGGCTGCGCATGCTCCACTTGTGGAGGCGGAGTGCGTTTTGTATTGTTTTTTTCCTGACAGGGATGGTGTGGGGGTGGTGAGATTGGTGTCCTCATTGTTCCTGGTTGGCTGCCGGTCGCCTGGGGCTGATAGAGCACCATGATCTACCCCTCCCCGAAGGGGAAGAGGGGGGTTGGAAGAGGGAGCTCCCTAGACTCTAGACCACCTACGCCTGGAGGGTTGGTGGGATTCATAACCACTATCGTGCGTCAGTTTTTCGCGCAGTGTCTCGCCGCGTTCAGCATGGAGATGGCGTCGTCGTGACAGCCTGTTCTAAGTGCTTCGACTGGCATGAATTTGTGCGCGGGCAGTGCGCCCACAGATGCTACACCGGGTGAAACATTTGTCAACATCTCTCCCGGTGTGATCGTCAAACAGATATTGCGGGAGTGCATGCGCAGGTCAAATACAGATGAGGCGTTGATGAAACATTTAGTAATCAAACAAGTTCGAGGGTACACTTTTTTGACGTCATGACACGTCTGCTTCGATGATGCTTGTTTCTATCCTGCATGCTGCGTTGCAGCAGAGAGCTAACGCTCGCCGGCCAAGTATACAATTAGAGCTGAAGGGCACGCGCTGGGAAGTAGGTAGGCCTTTGAGGCGCACTCAGCCAGAATATAACTCTATGTATGTGCTTGCTCGGGAATGTTGTCTGCGATGTTGGAGCACCGCCGTCCGTGCAGCATCGGT